ATATGATAAAGACAACTACAATACTTGAAGACTTTTAAATAAGATAATATCTACGTTCTACTCTCCATATCTCTTATCTTAATTTCTTGTTTATATTGCTCATATTTCATAACAATATTAAGTATTAAGTTATAAATTTGTCATCATCAAAAAGAGTAAAATTGTTGAGCTAAGTGTCATGAACTAGAGAGTTACAAGATAGGAAAAATTATGGGGTAGAGAGCAATGTGCTAGGACAATAATATGAAGTTTTGATGAATATGAAATTATTAGCAAAACGTGACAAACATATGCAAGAATCAGATATCAAACATGTCCCAAATAAGAATTTGTAGTGATTATGACAAAGAACTACTTAAGAACTAGTTCCTTAACATACTTACTATAGGATATGTTATCAAGAGAACACTTGTGAGAAGTGAAAGAACTAAGTCGATCACAGTAGAGTGAAAGAATTAGAATGTTGATCGAGGCAAAGCAGATTCAAAATATTTCTTGAGGAATTAGAATTACCACTACTAAAATAAAACAAAAAACAAGAAAGAACATGGTAACGTTGTCATATTTAAATACATTGAATTAGTTTTGAAAATAGAAGCAAAGCAGTTGAGGCATCTCCAACCCTATCCTCTATTTTATTCTTCAAATATAGAGTTCTCTATTTTTTCAGACAACCAACTACAACCCAATTCTCTATTTCTCTCTAAAAAAAATATTTTTCTCTCTCCTCAATATTATATTATTATTTCTATTTCATTTTTATTTTCTAATTTCATAATAGAAATTATTCTTCTTTTTTTTGCAAATAATTACCCTATAATCTATATAATCTTTGTGTAATATAAATTTTATTCTTTTCAAAATTTTCATTAAATATAAAATTATATTTTGTTCTAAATTTCTAAATAAAATAAATTACAACAAATATTATGTATAATACATACTAACAAACAATTTAAATAAAAGTGAAATCATTGATGAAATACAATTACATAATAAATAATACATTATCATAAAATTTAATTTTAAAATTTACATAAATACTCGACTTTCAAGACTATTACGTTGCTCCCATAATGCTTTATTAATGCATTACGGAGTTCAAAATGAGTAATTTCTTGTCCGTATTTTTTTATGTGTAGCTAAATATTGTTTAAATTAACAATTTCATCTTGTAACCAATTATTTCGTGTACTAATTTACTTCCCCTATTTCATTTTGAACTATTATAAAAAGTATTTTCATGCTCATTAAAAAGTGTAGTTTAATAATTTATCACTATAACATAAAAGTAGATTGTTTGAACTATCATGTAGATTTTGTGTATTCTTCATAGTGAAAAATAATTATAATTTTAAATTAAATATTTAAAGTGACAATTTTTTTTAAAAAAAATTATTAATTCGGGATGAAAATAGTATACTTATCAATAGTATGTTTTTTTAGATGTTATATTACTTAGAAAATAATTCAACTATTAAAGACTTAATTAATAGTCTCATATAATATAATATTAAAATAATTTGAAATTACATATTTAAAGTGACGATTTTTTAACAAATAAAATAGAAAATTATTAATTCGGATAAAATAGTAACTTGTCAATAATATGATTTTAGATGTTATATTATATTAGAAAATTAATTACAAATAATAAAGACTTAATTAATGATACCATAGAAGTAATATTAAAATAATTAAAAAGTGAAATAGAGGGGGGTTGGAGAGCCCATTCTCTATTTTACTCTCTAAATATAGAGAATAGAGAGTAAAATAGAGGTGGGTTGGAGATGGTTTGACAACGCATGAAAGAATCAAGTTAAACTTGAATTAGAATTTTTTATTTCTAAAATAATTCATGTTAAATTGGGAAAACAAGAAACGACTATTCTACTTCTATATTAAACATCAAATTGGTGCTGCTAAAGAGAGAAGAATTCAACTACAAAGAAAGAGAATAAGAGCAATGTCTTATCACAAAGTTTCTTCAATTTAAGCTCGCATTTGACTCAAGTTTCCAAGTATTTTTGCCAAATAATATCTTGCCCAAGTTTCCCCAAAAACATTTGACTATTTCAAAAAATATAATTTATACCCATAAATTCTAAAAATTATTTAAAATACTCATAAGTTTGTATTATATATTTATATTGAATATGTTCCGTTAAAAATAACATTATAACATAATTGATAACAATCAACAATAACAAAATAATAATATAAGCAAGAGCAATACATTAATGCATATTCAAACTTGTCATTGATTCGGTTATAGTTATAACAACCTCCAATCCGGAGGAGATAGTAACAAACTATTCCTTTATATAATCTTCCAACATTCTACGAACAATCTCTTCCCGACAAGCTTTCATTTCTAGATCAAATTACTGAGAAGATGAAATAATATTGTTACTCTGAGTCGATTGTTCGTCATCTTCGTCAGTAACCATATCATCACGTTCATGTTCATTGAATATTTCATTAATGCTTTGATTTTCACGCAAAAAATTATGTAATACGGCACAAGCAACTACTATTTTCACTTTCATGTCTATTCCTATAGATATCTATTAATAGGAAGTAATAAATTATGGGTATTTTTTATAAAATATACAAGTTTTGGGGTAATTTTGAATTTTTTATAGTTCTCAAATATTTTCCAAGTTCTCAAAACTAGTTTTTTCTAGTATTTGGGAACTTGGGATTCTTGGTAAAAAAAATTGTCAAGTTATGTTGCCAAACGCCAACGGTCAAATTTTTCCCCAAACATTTCCAAATAACACTTAGGGCCAAAAGGGTGCTAGGAGAGAACCAACAAGCAACGATAAAAAAAAAATTCATTCCATTCCAGAATTATTCATAACAAATCGTATTATCATTTGTCAAGTTCAATTATTTGAATTTAGTTATAACTTTTACATTTCTAATGATTTGTATAGGAGTTGTTTAAATTGTAAAAAAAATTCTTGACCGCGTAAAGTCATAAAAGAAATGACGTACAATTAGAAAGAATTATAAAAGGAGAAACATGCTATAGTGGTTAATTTCTTAATTATGAAGTTATAACTTTAAATAGAAACTCAAATTTAGTGATAATTTGAGAGAGAAATCCTATGAGGTAAGACACGGTTCTTTGCTTTTGAGAAATAAGTTTTTTCACGTAATTTTTTTTGTGCATCTATTTAATTGTTGTACCATTACTAAAAAAAAAATCTAATTCTTTATTACAACGATTGCAACTCAAATTAACTTTTTTTAAATCGAAGCAATAAAAATAGGTTCTTTTAAAATCCTAACGCATGGTCTTCACAAAATATCTTTAGAAAATTAGTGCTTACACAACTGTTTTTAGAATAGTACGGCAAAATTTAGTGTGAGAATTAATTCTTCTGATCCTCTTTAAGCGAAATTGGTACATAGTACTCTTTATCCTTTTGTTAAGTAAAATTACTTTAATATATATTCCAAATTTTATACTCCTCTTGAAGCTTGTTTGACATTACTGTTAAAAATAACTTATTTTTAGAAGCACTTTTTTAAAATGGCTTTTCAAAAAAATATTTTTGATAAAAAATAAATCATTTGTGTTTGGCTAATTCATTTGAAAAATATTTTTTATAAGCAAATTGCGTTTGACTGATCTATTTTAAAAAGTGTTTTCGACAGTAAAATTGCAAAAAAGGGCAACTATTAATGTACACTAATATTAAAATTATTTTATAGAGAGAAACTATTTTATATATGTATTATAAAAAAATAATTAAATTTTTATTTTTATTAAATGAAAATGTACATGTTTAAATTTTTAATCATATTATACCTTTTTTGGGAGGCTAAAATCTATAATTGTTTTTTTTTCTTTTTTCTAATCTTATATTGTTGTTACCTTTTTTCTAATTCTGCAAAATAATACATAAAATAATATATAACATATAAATATATAAACATAAAATAAAATTATCAAATTTATTATATAAAAATAAAAAGTAAAATTCTTAAATGAAATTTAACCAAACTCGTGAAATATGCTAATTAATTAATATGAACTATATTGGTAAGTATGTATATATGAAAAGGATATTTTAATTTTGAAAAAAAAAATTGTTTCTGCTTCTGCTTTTTTTAAAAGCAGAATTTTAGCTTCTTCCCAACAGCAAAAAAAATGTTTTTGCTTCCATTTAAAAATATTTTTGTTGATTTGTCAAACACTTAATTTTTCAACTAAAGTGTTTATTGCTCAAACCAAGTACTTCTCGCATCCCAACAATAATGCCAAACAGACTCTTAGTTTAATTTATTCATTTTAATCCAGTTTGACGTAAAATTTAGAAAAGCAAACACATTTTTGAATCATGATCTAAAACTAAAGATATGCATTACATATTAAAATATTTTATAATTTTGAATATATTACATAAAATATCAAAATAAATACATCACGTAAAATATCAAAATTATCAATCACAATAAATCATCAAAAAAAACACCAAAAAAAAATTTCAACTCTCAACAAATATTACAAAATTAAATCTTTGAAATTTAAAATTATATATTTGAGCATGCATTCTAAAAGAAAAATTAGGAAAAAGTGTCAAAATATAATCTGGTCAAATTTCATATCATAATTAAATAAATATTTTTAAAATCTAGATTAGAATATCAATGCAGTTTATTTTGAAAAAAAAATTAGTTAAATAAATTGCAGAAATTTGAAATTTGAAATACATTTTATTTAAGAAAAAATTGAATTTTGTGAGAAAAAGTTTCAAAATATAATCTGGTCAAATTTTATAATTAAAAATTTTTTTTAAAAAATTGATGATGTTTATCTTGAAAATAAATAGGGAAAAAGAAAGATATGTGGAAAGAGGTAGAAAGAAAGAGGAGAGCGCAGGGGAAGGCAGAAAGAGTGGATGCTGACGAGTCCATCATAAGACTCTTCCGCGTAGCTGCCAGCTGTCAGGCCACGGATTCCCCTGATATGGACCCCACTTACATACACACACACACACACTTATTAGATGACATAACCTACTTCTACCCCCAAAATCCCCAAATATCTATTCTTACGCTATACTCCTCCTCCCTCTCTCCCTCTCTGCCTCTCTGTATCTGTATGTAGAGAGAGAAACTAAGAGTTGTGTGTTGTGGCGATGAAATTGGAATAGAGAAACTAGTGTTTACATTCTGAAATGTTGTTTTGTTTGTAACGGATCCATCCATCTCTTTCACAGATTTGATTTTTGTTATTTCAATGGCGAAGACTGGTGTTGTTGAAGGAGATCCACTTACGGTTAAAGAGATGGAGTTGAAAAGGGAGTTGCAGAGATTAGTTAAGGCCATTTTGTCTCAAGAGGAGATTAATGTTGATGCTATTGATAAAACCCAGCAAATCCTTCTTGCTTTGAAGGAATTAAAACTTAAACGACGTTCATCCTCTTTCGATCTTCCTTTTCCTGAGGAATTTCGATGTCCGCTTTCTAAACAACTTATGAGAGATCCTGTCATGCTTGCCTCCGGTCAGGTTAGTACATTCATCACCACAATTTTAATATATGATTTTTTTTTTTAAAAAAAATTGTTCGGTGTGTTTGATTGATTGATTTTTGGAGGTTTGTGGAATTGTGGTGGGTTTGGTAGATTGAACTTGGAAGGGGTAATTCCTTTCAATTTTTCCATCATTGTAATGAATTGGGGGTGGGGGTTGTACATGGGTTACTGTTAATTACATGATATCTGCTTAATTAGTGTTGTTGTGAGTGTCAATTATAAGGTACAACAGTGTGTATTAATCTTTCTTTTTGATTTATCGTTACAATGCTCCCTTAATTCAGTTCTCATAGAGCACATGTAAATCCTGTTAAGTGTTTCTGTAATTTTCAAGATTCATCTACTGTTCTCTGTGTTTTAGTTAGTTTTGAGACACATTTGGCTGATATATTGTTGATATTTTTGCAGACTTATGATAGACCCTTCATTCAGAAATGGTTAAAAGCTGGGAATAGGACGTGCCCTCAAACACAACAAGTACTTTCACATACAATTCTTACACCTAATCACTTGATTCGGGATATGATATCGCAATGGTGTAAAAATAATGGGATTCAAATGCCAGACTCTGTTCAGTTTTTGAATGATGAAGGGTTGACTGAAGCTGACCGTGATTTGTTCTTGTCGTTGCTTGAGAAGATGTCTTCAACGTTATCTGATCAAAAGGTTGCTGCAAGAGAATTACGTTTGTTAACGAAGAAAATGCCTTCCTTTCGGTCACTATTTGGAGAATCTGCTGATGCAATTCCTCAACTTGTTCGTCCCCTATCTCAAAGCAACAGCAATGTTAATCCAAATCTCCAGGAAGACATAATCACAACACTTTTGAATCTTTCCATCCATGACAACAATAAGAAGCTTGTCGCGGAGACTCCAAAGGTTATTCCACTTCTTGTGGATGCATTAAGGTCAGGAACAATTGAAACAAGGAGCAATGCAGCAGCTGCACTTTTTACATTATCTGCGCTTGATTCTAATAAAGAGCTTATAGGAAAATCTGGTGCCCTGAAACCACTGGTTGAACTTCTAGATGAAGGGAACCCAGTCGCAATGAAGGATGTTGCTTCAGCTCTTTTTAGTCTATGCATTATTCAGGACAATAAGGCGAGAGCGGTTAGAGATGGTGCTGTGAGGGCTATACTGAAAAAGATTATGAGTAACGTGCACGTCGATGAGTTACTAGCTATACTAGCTATGCTATCAAATAATCAAAAGGCAGTTGAGGAGATGGGAGACCTTGGGGCGGTTACATGTCTGCTTAATATAATAAGGGAGACCTCGTGTGCTCGCAGCAAGGAGAATTGTATTGCAGTCCTTTATACAATCTGTTACAGTGATCGAACCAAGTGGAAGACATTAAGGGATGAGGAGAAAACGTATGGGACAATCTCTCAACTTGCTCAAAATGGTACAGCAAGAGCCAAGAGAAAGGCTAATGGTATTCTTGACAGACTGAACAGGGCTATCAATCTTACTCATACTGCATAAAAGAAGCCAGCAGTTTGAAGAACAAAATGTGTAAATTCTGTTCAATCTTTGCCCTCTTTCCTTTCATAAAAAGTATTTGAGGCATGTTGTGGTTCGTTTGCAACCTTACATTTTGTACATTCTATCTGAGATTTACAAGTAATAGTGATTGTGAATAATTTATTATGAAGGAGTTTTCGTAAAAGTAAGATCCATGGTGTTTTTACTCTTTTAGTTGGATTACGTGGGACATGGTTGGTCTAGGCTATGTTGCTTGGACTCTGATTGTTCAAAGTGGTGTTATTTTTGGAGAATCTGACATAGAAAGTGAAGAGTCTGGTATAGGTGATTGATATGTAGTAGTAGAAGAATTAGTGAAGTAATAAGAAAGAAGAAATAATTGTTGCACATGGGTGTTGTGTATTAGTTTAAACATGTGATGTGAGGTAGAAGGTGGGGTTGCTGTGATTTGTCTGCAAGGAAGAATGTGATATTTGTAGTGTGGAGGGGCAGATAATGTTCCTTTCTTTTCTCATTAGCAATGGTAAGTAAAGGTCCACTGACCACATGGCTGGACTGGGATTGATAGCCAAAAACAAAAAGGTCGATTCCTTCCTATGTATTACCTCTTTGGTGATGCCACTGTTATTCTTAGTTTACACTCACTTCTGGCTTTATGTGAAAAGGGATGATTCTCTTTTTATCTAGTACACTACACTAACTAGGTCTTATTTGGAACTTAAATTTGTAGTTTATGATAATTCAGCAAAATTTTGATTTCAAATCTCATATTCACTTGAAAGGTAGGATATCAATTCCAATTTTAATTTAAAACTTTGATCTATAAATTTATATGAAAGGGTTATAATATTACAATCAATGTAAAGAGATTGTAATTATGAAAGTATTATATTAAAAAGTAGCTGGTTATTATTATTGTTGATTTATTGGATCAACATGTTTTTGTAAAACTATGTGTGTATGAAAGTTTGTAATAATATATATTCGTGATCTTCTTCTTTTTTGTATTAATGCGACTTGTTGGGATTATTGAAATTGGAGTGCTTCCAACTAATTTGCATCGGAAAGTCGAGTAAAATTCTTTCCTAACAAAGGACTATGGAAGTTGAAACTCATTACTCTTGGGTACTAGGTTATGGAGATTGTTATAGTATCTTGTATTATACATACATATGAAGGTAATGGATAAATGAATGAATGAATGATATAGCATATATGTAGTTAGTTGGAAAAACTCCAATTCCAATAGGGAAGGGAAAGAATATGGGCATATAATATTGAATGGCCCATCCAAGGTGCACCTTTTTTGTGCTTACAAAGTCTTCACTCCAACAGTAAACCTCTTTTTTCCTCTCATGCCATCCTTTTATATATATATATATATTAGTAAAAAATAGTTGAGGCTATTCCTTTTCACTCTCATTTCTTTATATCTTCAACAAGAAGACAAAGCCAAGCAAAGTGTATATATGACAAAAAGCAGGCGGCTGACTCTTAAATTCTCTTGCAATATAACTTGTTCCCTTCAAGCTTTGTAAATAAAAGTAAAATATTTAGATGGAGCCTAGTCCAGGGATGAACATCTGACGTTTCTATATTTTTTTGTTATAAAAGAAATACTATGAATAACCCTTAATGCATTATCCAACTTGTGCTATTGCCTATTGGAAGTATATGCATGCAAAAATATCCTTAAATCATGTCAAATTAAATAAAATTATCGTCAATTCCAAAAGTATCCTTGCAATTGGTGGCCAAGCATCTAAGTAATTAAGTTTTGTTCCTCAATTCACGTTATTGTTAACTTTTATGAATAAAGAAGCAAGTGGGTAATCATGTGATGCCTTTTCATTGTGTATAAATAAAAGAAAGAATATGGAATACAAGGTTGGTACGGTCAACAACACCTTTATTTTATTACTAGGAAATTCAATATGCTATCGTTTTGATTCTCCATAATCCATACCCATTTTCTTGAGGAAACAAATTAAAATTAAACGACTTATATTTAGGACTTAGGAGTATAAATTAAGTCCTTCATTTTGGTTATATTTTCTTCTTCTTTTTTTTTGGCTTCCCACCCAATGTTTGGTATCCACATTGAAGCCTACACAGGAAAGTTCCATATTAGGGGGGTAAAACGTTTTCCAACAAACGCAATTTCATATTCAAAGGACTTGAATCTAAGACATCTAGTTAAAGATGGAGGGGTTCTTACCATTCCATCACAATCCTTGTTTTTTTTCATTCAAAAAGTGGAGTGGAGGAATGAATTACAATGTGGGCGATCGAACCATCACCAACAAAATGAGAGTTCAAATAACCAACCAGCTAAACTATTCTAATTTCTTTCAGTTTTTCTAAAGTGTGATTTTAGATTAATCGATTTAATTAGTTATTTTGGATTTTTGTTTTTGTCATAAGTCAAGTTTTTTCTTCTTATAAAACTGACATATTAATAAAGACTAAAGTCTTCATGTCAAATTATCTTTAATAATTCCCCATTCCCACTACAAATATCCAGATAAAATATTTACAAACAATATTGAAACCATTAGGGAAAATTCCTAATCTATTTTTTTTAAGGAAAAATGATCTGATATATCCCTTAACTTTGCCATTTGGAGCTAATATATCCCTCGTTAAGAAAATGGCTCATATATATCGTTACCGTTATACAAACGGCTCACATATACCCCTACCGTTACAAAATGAGCTCATATATACCCTTCATTTAACGGAAGTGAAAAAATTAATTTTAAATTTATATTTTTTACTTTTGATTTTTTTTTAAAAATCATTAGGGATATATATGATTTTTCTAGCAAATTTCAAGGTATATTTTAATTTTTTTCGGACATAAATTATTTTTTGACTTCTTGATTATCATTATTTGAGTTTCTTATTCTTATTTTATATTTTTCTTTCATTCCTTAGTGTAAAGAAAAAAATTTAAAACTATTTTTTTTTTGTTGCTATATTATAATTTTAAACTATCTTTTTTTGGATATATTGTAATTTAGTTTTTGTATTTGAAGAAAATAATTGGGTCATCTATAATAAATTTTACAAGAATATTAGCGAAACTTAAATAAATTTGACCATCAAAATAATAAATCTAAATTAGTCATTGAAACAAAAAAAAGTTTTTAAAAATAATATATGTTTGAGGAGGATTAAATATACCCATATGGGATTATACTTTTTAAAATAAAATTAATTTTTGCACTTCCGTTAGAGGAAAAGGGTATATGTGACATTTGTATAGCAGTAGGATACATATGAGTCACTTTCATAACGAGGGGTATATCAACTCTAAATGACAAAGTTGAGGGGTATATGAGACCCTTTTCCCTTCTTTCTAGGGATAAGGGTCTGAAAAATACCCTAACTTTGGTCGAATTTGTTGTTGCGATGCTAAAATTTCATAAGGACCTATTACCTCCCTAGATTATTTAATACCGTATTTTTTACCCTTGAACTATTTAATAGTGTATTTTAAAGGTATATATGTGCCCACGTGGACACATTACTATTTATAATTTTGCATTATTTTTTTATGTCTACGTGGGCAAATATATATGTTTAAAATAAGGTATTAAATAGTGTAAAAAGGTAATAGATCCTCATGAAAATTTAGTTTCACAACAGTAAATCCGATCAAAATTGAGGTATTTTTCAGTCCCTTATCCCTTATTTCTATAACTCTTGTTGATGGTTATATATCTTTTTAATTCTTAAACTAGCAGCCTAGGGATCCCAGCCTTGCACGTGCAAGTGGTCCTCTTTGTAGTAAAAAGAATTGCTTAACAGTACATGTGTCTGATTTAGTCCGATCAATTATTTATTTTAGAAGAATTATATTGTATTGATTTTTTGGTCAATCTATTTCGTATAAATTATATATGTCTCCTTTAGCATTGTCTTCAGCATATGTTCAATTTGATTAGTTTTATATAATTATAATAAGAGTTTACAATTATATAATTATAAAATTACTTAAGCAAATAAAATTATAAAATTACTTAAGCAAATAATAAGATTTTTTTTATGAAGCAATTAAACTATAAAAGAGTCATTATAAAATGTGCACTAATTTTGAATTTGAAAGAAACAAATTTAAATCTTATAAATTTTGTAGTCATGACTTCCAATGCAATAATATCGTCACAAGTAAAATTTTACTACATGTGAAAACAAATATTGATAGTTCTACTTTTGTCTTCATTCTAATTAAACTTGAGATGGTTAAGTAGAAAAATAAAAAATTCTAGTGGCTATTCTATCTTAAAACCTTGCTCAAGCTTATAAAAAGGGACACATGTTTTTTTTAGAAGACATCCCAAATATCTCATAAATTGATTATGAAAATATTTCATAAATTGATCCTAGAATACTCATAAAGAGATCAAGACATCAAATACATTCTTTTTCAAAATTTTCCCTGTGACAAATATATCTCAAGGAGCTAGGTCCAAATCGATCAACCTACGTTTGAGAAATATGCTATTAGTGGTCCTCAAATAAGATTTTAAAAAAAAATTAAAAAAATTAAAGAATAAATAAAGTTATACTCGCAATCTTGATGAATAAAATCACTTTTTATTTATTTTGGGATTACAATTTATGAGTTGATAAGAATATGGTCATTATTTTTTTATCGTTACTCATGTAACTATTTTTTTCAAGATCTACCACTAATTATCCACCACCAACTCATGTTCTACAATATTATTATGAGGGCCCTATTATTATCCTATATTACTTTGTTATTTAATCCATAGAAGAATTTTACATCTAAAAATAGTGATATTTCTTCCTTTGTGAAATAGAATGAGAAAAATGAAATGTGTGGCAAAATATATTAGTGACTAGTGTGTAGTGAAATTAAACTACGGAAAGAAAGAATTGAGACAAAGAAAAATATTGTAGGTCTTCAAAATATTCACTATATAAAAAAAAACAATAATTTTATATTGAGAAATGTGTTCTTTTGATGAAGTTTTTGACTTTTCAAATAATCTGGAGTAATTGTTTGAGCTACACGACGTTGTTGAGCTATTGTATTCTGGAGGAGAACGACAAGTTAAAAGTTATATTGCTAGATTGGTGTTGATTATACCGCAGTGAGCTTGAATCTCCTTAAAGAAAGCGAAATATTTACTCCAACCTGAATATTGTTTTATTT